TTAATGAGTAATATCATCAGATAATTGGTTGCACATATATACAGATCATTATAGCATGCAATTAAAGTGATTTGAATTGAATAATTTCAAATAAATTTACCACATTTAGAGCATTTTTTTTTTTTAATAAAACTATTAAAACAGGTATGTTTATAGTTATTGTGTACTCAATATTTCAGTAGTATGCTTAATGCATATTAAGTATTACTTTAAATATCTTGGTTTAACAAATTAAACCAAAAGGGAACATATATTGCTATTACATTACATTAGTACTTCGAACACATTGTTCGACATCCAAATGTGTTAAGGTTATGTTCAAGAACTTACATTTTATTTGCTTTTTTGGTAAGATTCATAAGCTCAAATCTCAAAAACAAGTTCTAGTTAGATATATTAAAGTTTGTTTTAAAAATTATTTAAATGACTAAGAGCAATCTAAAAACATGTGGTTATGTGCATTACCTCTTGTATCGATTCTGTATCACCATTTATTAGAATGTCAATAATACTTTCCATGGTGTATAAATGCCTCTTTCAAATTCACCAAATATATAATTACCTCCAGGCCAATTTGAAGTTTCTGTTCACCTAACCATAGAAAAAAAAAAAACAATTATGCGACGTTATAAATAAAACAATAGTGAAACAGCATTCTTATAAATATCGATAACAAATGAACATATTCTCACTTGCAACAAAAATTGTATTCTGTTCTAATAACCATTACCAATGAATAATGAATTTGTTATTCGACAATGATTCAAAAGAGATTCCTACTCGAATTCTGAAAATTGCCGGCAGTTGCTGCGTGAGTAAAGGCTTGCGCGCACATGAATGAACTTAGGTACGGTTATAGGTTAGCGAAGTTTTATACCTTTTATTGTACAATTCGAACGCCTTCTGTGGGTGTTTTTAACGAACATTCAACAATCATGAATTTTAATTCTCGTAAAATAATTTTACTATATATAATTACATTGTAAAGTGTTTAATATGGTGAATGTGAAGTGTTTTTTTGGAGCGAATGAAAACTGACTATGATCAAACTTTCTTTTGTTATTGATCCAATCTGAAACAAATGGTAAGAGTATTTATGAATTAATTTTAATTTGAATATTTATGAAAAACATTTTTATTTCGAACTTTGTAAAGGTTCTATATATTTCATTTATTTTATAAATTCTATGCGTATTAAATAATAGTATTAAAGGCAAAATGTAGCTTGATAAACGTATGCATTTGTTTTCATCTTGAACTGTCAAAAATTTCGACGTGACTTCATAGATCATACATAGTATTCTAATATTGTCTAGGGCATAGACTTATAATACATATGTATTATAATATATACTTCAAAATATGTATTTTAATACATTATAATATATATTCAACTATAGTTGATTCTCAGGCTGTTTTTTTTTTGTATAGCGAAGGAAATGCAAGGTGACCATACGTCCCGGATTGGCCGGGACAGTCCCGATTTTCCGCCTTGCGTCCCGGCTTTTTCTAAAAGCAATATTTGTCCCGGTTTTAGGTGTTTTGTCCCGGATTTTTCAAAATGTTTTGATTGCCAATATATTTTTAAACAGATTTCAACTAGAAAATTTGAACCGAAAAAATGTACATATAAGTTTTTAGCTCGCCAACAATCCCTCTCCCCCTGCCCTCACACACATTCTAATCCATCCCGGATTTCATGCAAAATATGGTCACCTTAAGGAAATGCATTTATGTATCCCAGACTGGTGTTTTGTATGGGTATGTCGGACTCAATACCGCCCGGGTATAATACCGACTAAAACCTCCGCTTTGCCCTTGCCTCTGGTCCCCACGGAAACCCCGTTAGGCATTACTTCGTGGGGGGGAGGATCTAGAATGTTATCATTCTTAACTTCATTTTATACTCATCTTTTAAAATTTTAAATTTAAAAGATGGGAGAGGATCTAGAATGTTATCATTCTTAACTTCATTTTATACTCATCTTTTAAAATTTAAAATTTAAAAAATGGGGGAGGATCTAGAATGTTATCATTCTTAACTTCATTTTATACTCATCTTTAAAAATTTAAAATTCAAAAAATGAGTATAAAATGAAGTTAAGAATGATAACATTCTAGATCCTCCCCCCACGAAGGCTTCCGTAGTGACCAGAGGCAAGGGCAAAGCGGAGGTTTTAGTCGGTATTAGTATAGTAAACTATACCAGGGCGGTATAGTTGACTCTCAAGTCGTGTTTTTTTGTATAGCAAAGGAAATGTAAGGTGACCATACGTCCCGGATTGGCCAGGACAGTCCCAATTTTTCGCCTTGCTTTTTTTCTAAAAGCAGTATTGGTCCCGGTTTTAGATGTTTTGTCCCGGGTTTTTCAAAATGCCTCTGCTTTCTACGGAAACCGCCGTTAGGCATTACTTCGTGGGGGGAGAATCTAGAATGTTATCATTCTTACCTTGTATTTATACTCATCTTTTAAATAATACTCTCAAGCCTTGTGGGTATGATGATATGATTATATTATATTCTAATATTGTCTAGGGGCATGATGAAAGTTTTGGTTGACAATATTAGTTCTTTCAAATTTCTATCGGTTTCTATCAAATACTTATTATCATTTTATTAACTTCCCGAAGAAGAAGTTTGTGTTTTTGCCAAAGAATCCAATTTACTACTTTTGTGATTTCTCGTCGATTCAAGACATTTCTGAATAGCTTGACCCCAAATTTGGACAAATTATGTGTTTGTCAATGGCGTAATAAAGTGGCAAATTGCTATGATTCAAAAAAGCCCCCGATCCAAGAGAGCCGCCCGACTTAAAAGAATCTCGCCACAGAAGGCAATGAGCTCAAAATATTTTAAATTTTATGCTGAAATGCGCCAATTTCTTTGCTAGATATTTAACACTTTATTTGCTATAATAACAGAAAATATTTCGTATGATCATGGTAACTTTATTAGAGAGTTTAGTTAAATATGTATCAAGAAAACAATGTACCAAAACATTTTTTTTGACAAAATTTCGGAAAAATACTATTTTTCATGTCGCACATATATGACTAATATTAAGGTGATCATACGTCCCGGTTTGGCCGGGACAGTCCCGGATTTCACCTTGTGTCCCGGGTTTTTTTAAAAGCAATATTTGTTCAGGATATAGATCTTTCATCCAGAATTGTCCTGGGTTTTCAAAAAGAATAGATCTATATTGAATCTTCGCACTTACTTGATAATCATCTGAAATCAAATATATTATACAAAAAGACGGGTTAAATTAGCCACTCACATTCAACGAAAATTAACAAGAATTATTAAAATAAACTTCTTTACTGCCTGGAATACCAAAGTGCTTATTATTTTTAAAATAATTATGAAAAAAATTGAACAAAATTTTATAATAAGTTTGAAAGCTGTCGGATTTTTATCGCACTCTTAAATAATGTTTGTTATTATTCAACGACTAATTGAGTACGCTAAAAAATTTTGAAGTTTATTACAATTAAACTAAGGATAACGTGACGATTTTTGTTGACGAAGCCCCACCAAAAGATTTTGCCACGATCTCCGTGTTGTTATAGTTACGCTATCTCTTTTTAGGTTGTAAAACTGAGATAATTATTGTTTTATTAATATTATTAAAAGACAATCAACGAAAAATTGCACAACCATATTTATTCTATTCAGCAGTGTTTCTATTTGAAGGATTTGAAATGAATGTTAATTGTTTTATTGACACGAGAACGCCGAATTATAGCAATAGCAGTCGCGCTTTTATATCTAATTTCTTCGTTGATGTATTGAGATATCCAAATTTCGATGATTTTATTTAAATTTTAAGCTCTTTATCGACAAATAGTTTTAGAATAGAAAAAGATGAAGCTTAGAAGAGTAGGCAAAAAAATAATACCACTGAGCACAATCATTAAAGAAAAGAAAACTGGATTGGAACAACCATTCTGCAAAAAGAATGCTTCCTACATGGCATAGAAAATTGGTAAGACGAAGAATGCAGATGGTTGATGACTTATGCGAGAAGAGAAAATACAGGGAACTGAAAGCCGAAGCACAGGACAAGGAAACATGGAAGGAGATGTATGGAAAATGAATGAATGAGTAAATAGTGGTAAATATATGGTAGTGGGAATAATAAGCAAGAGATGGAAAGGAAATCATTGATGTGTGGCGGTCGCACACCATGGACCTGTCTTCAAATGGACTACGATTTATTATTATTATATCGATAAATAGTTCGAAAACTAATAGATAGATCATCACCATAATTTTTTTTTTTATTCAACAATATATTTACAACTGTCCTACATAGGGCCAGTTGGGGTATATTTGGGGCGCCTAAAGCGATCCTAAGAACTTTGTTCTGAAACCTTTGAATGATGTTAGCATTACTTTTAGATGTGGTGCCCAAGAGCTATGCCATATGTCCAAATCGGCTTAAGTTCAACTTGTATACCAGTAGTTTATTGTTACAGGAAGATGGGATCTCCTACCCATTAACCATATGTTCTCGTAACTTTTCCTCAAGCTGTTGTCTTTTCTTTTTCATGTGAATTTTCCAATTCAGTTTGCGGTCTAGATGCATGTCCAGATACTTTACGTGTTCGACCTGAGGTACTTCTATTTCATTCACAGTTACAGGTGGACATGTCTCGTGTTTGAGTGTAAAAGTGATGTGGGATGATTTCTGGCCATTGATCTCTAGCCTCCACAGTTTGTACCATTTTTCTAATGATGTTAAGTGACGTTGAAGTTGCTCTGAAGCAGTTGTGGGATTTTCATGTTTTGAAAGAATGCAAATATCGTCAGCAAATGACGCTATGTCTGTGTCAAGTGAGGTGGGAATGTCAGCTGTAAAAATTAAAAACAAAATTCATCACCATAAATGACAAAGTAAAATTCGCTTCAGCTGTACTTTCGGTGTTATTTTGATCCTTCGATAAAGTATGGTTCTAATCTCGAGCATGGTCCGATTAGTTCAGATGGCCTAATATACTGCCATCAAATGATAATAGACGGGGTGTCGAACGAAGCACTCTGAATCCGACGAGTCGCGCGTATCTAACGGAGCACTTTGTGCAATGTAGCTGCTAAAGAACAAATGATACGACTTGAGGATAGACAGTGCCATTACTTATAGATTCCGGTTCTTGGGAGCCGTAAATATAACTGCAGGTTCTACTTTATAATTAATTTACAAACCGAAAATAATTGGCTATAACTCTTAGATCGATTTGATGTTGAGATTATTGTAATCATTTAGCTATAAACTAAACTACTCTTGATCTGCACTCCAATTTCTCAATGCTTGTGGTGAATCAGTTTTTGGTTAAAACTCTTTTTTATTATTAGGTTTCTAATTATTTTTAAACCTTCCGTAAGGTAAGTTATAGAAATCGTCCCAAAATCTAGAATGAAATTTTTTGCATATTTTTACGTTTGATGGTTTCCTAACATTTAGGCATAACTTAGAAAAAATGGAGGTATATATGTGAGGTAAAAATGAAGGTATTGGGGTGTGTGTACGAATGTATGGATACAATTTTTCGTCTCCGTTTTCGGGAGCACGGATCAATCGATTTCAATTATTCAAATAGCATTCGATTTCTATTAACAAGGAGACGTGCTGATTAGTTGTTGGCAAAAGTTGGACCAGCCGTTTCGGAGATACGGTGCAAATAGTGCAGAAAATGGAAAATAAGTTTTTGAAATTCGGATCATCCAATTTGAATGCTTCAAAAAAACATTTCACTTGTATAGACTTAATGAAGAATTGATTAAGGTTTCCAAAGGCAGGTCCAAAAATATAAGATTACAACATACCATTTGGCGGTCAAACATATTATATTTTCAAGAGTATGGATCAACCGACATGGAATGGACACAATCATTCATAAAAATTCAAAATTTTCAAAAAAATCAAGGAGATATCTTGTCTATTTTGTTTTTATATGAACTTAAAACAAATCCAAAAATTTTGTGATGTTTTCTATATACTAAAATACACGTAATGTAACACCAAAAGGGGAGAAGGGCTCCAAAAATTTTTAGGAATCGATCATATGGTTAATGAATGCTCCTAAATGTAATATTCTCGTTTTTTCATATGTGTTCAATAAAGTATAGAACTTGATATGACCATTGAGAATTTGACTTTTGTAATTTGAATTTTCAGTGATTTTGAATTTATTTTCGAATGATCTATGCTACTTTTGTTTTAGTTCTTTTTTTTTACAATATAATCGATTAATTAATAATTTTGTTTAGTACAATACAATTAGATATCATAAAATACTGAAATTGGTAAGAGCAATCCTGGTTCACGTTTCTTATTCCTTCGAAGTCTGGTTAGTATAGTACGATCTCCATATATCACTACAGGGAAGTAAAACATGAATTGATCAAAAAGCTTCGTTTATCTATAATATATTTTACTTACTTCTAAATAAAACTTAAATTTAAGTAAGATTAAGTAAGACTTCCTTAATAAGTAAATAATATTGTTCTCTGGAAATGCAATAGCCTATTAAGCATTAAACTTAATTCAACGGAGTTGAAAATTTAAAAACTTGGTAAACGTAATGTAAATATTACTACATAACTGATAATCATATGAAACAATATATCAAAAAAATTTTTTGATTGTTTCATTAAATCTTTAACTCAGTTTCAGTATTAGAAAGGGGATCATGCCAATAATATAATATTTTATCTAACAAATATCACATTATTTTATAGATTTAAATATATGTACAAATTTTACGTGTAAATACTGCATTTTTTTGAATACTTAAAATATGTCAAGTTGTAGTGACATCGGTTTTCAATTAAATATAACTAGCAACATGTTTCCAAGTTAAAATATTCCTTACCTGGCATTGCTGTCACCAATAGAAAATTTATCAGTATTAGCAATGCATATATAAGCATATTTTGTCAAAATATTACTTCATATTTCTTTAATTTGAAATTTGAAATTAGTTCAGCGTAAGTATTTTTAAAAAAATAGCAAGATACATTTGAAAAGATATAATGTATAAGCAATGTTTATGTATTATCCCATCTTTGTCTCGACTCGACTTGACAACTTTGACTGAAAAAGGCTTACTTTCTGACTTCTATTTCTTTTTATGTTAATAATATCAATGTTAAGGTATTCTAATCAGATTTTTATCGAATCTTGCCGAATTATTGAGCATTCAAGTTTTTTTAATAATATTTCTACAAGTTTCATTTGCTATCGAATTATTATTAGCATACGCTTCATTTAATCCTTAATCATGAGAATATAGATGTTCTAGTTCGCAAAATAAGGATGAGGAAAAGTATAATTCACCTTTAGAAAAACCTTGTCATCCAAAGGTAATTGGTCAATAAGTTAACTAATGATTTGATTTGAACCTTCCATGTTTATACTGGAAATTAACTTAATTGTAATTATGTTTTAGAATTTCGGTCCATCATTGCACCTTCCCTGATCTCGATGTTCCGCTTCCGAATTTGTTTACATTGGATGAGCTGCTGGCACGGCCGTGGTTTTCGTCTTTGTTTACAATTAATACTAAATTAGTTCGCTACAAGAGTACTGCTGTGTATACGTTTAACGTTAAAATAATAATAAAATGAAACACGATGGTCTAAAATCTAAAATTAAATTGTCATTACCCTTTTTTTGAACTATTCACGTTTTTTGATCGTACAACACGCCTACATTACGGGTGCTATGATTTTTATTGAATTTTTCGAGAAGGCTGTGACTCACATACTGTTACTTTTTTATAGCTTTTTCACACGACAGGACGTAATAAATAAAAGATGATGAACGGGAATGATCTATCTATTGATCTATTACGTGCAAGCCAGTTAAATCTTATATACCGGACTTTTATAGACACATTATTAAAGGTTACAGGTGCAGGACCAAAATTTAGTCTTTTCATCATTCTTTCTAGTTTATTATACAGAGTTGACTAGTAAGGCTATTTCTGATTATATTTTTTAGTCAATTTCCAGTCGAAGTCTGGCTTTTTAAATTATTTTTGTTCAGTGACTATTTAAAATAATTTCCAATTTCAACTTGTTCAATAAGGAAAAATTAAATTTGTTAAGGAAAACATATTAATAAATTTTATTCCTTGATTCTAATCGAAAAATTCTAAATTTTCAAAATATAAAAAATAATTATTGAAAAGCCCTTTAACAAACATTTTCAATGATATAATTTTTAAAATTTTATTAAAAAATTATTTGCGAGCTTTGGACTAAATATATTTGCTAGACTAAAAATATTCTTTATTGAATTTTTTTTGCTTGAAAAATAGTTATAGATTTTTAACAAAATTATTTTATTTTTCTTGAAAGTTGTACTGAACTAAATAAAATAGTAAGTTAATTTCGACAATGAACAATTAATATAAATGCGAATATGAATCACAGTTGGAACCAATAAAAATTGGAACAATTTAAAAAAATATTATTTTATCTTCGCCTATGTTTTCAGTGTATGTAGAATTGCAAAAGAAAAATCATGTCATGTCAATAATCAGAAAATAATATCATCAGAACATCTTATAGAATACTAAAATTCCGATTACTGTTTTGAAAAAGTTATTTAATCACAAAAACGATGGATGGTATTTTCATTTTTTGTAATAACTTTTAATTGCTGTTTTGAATCTACGCCAAACAAAAAAAACGTTTTTTATAATATTTGATTACTCCTGAAAAAAACATTTTCATAAGGAAGAAAAGATAATTTGAATCATATTACTTCATATATTTCCAAGAGTACAAATATGTAAGCATAGATACTTAAAATTATTTTTGGTGCCTTTTATGTTCCTATATGTACACGAACATTACTTAAGTTTATAAACTATCATAAAGCCTAGCATATCATTTTATTTATCGTTCTAAACTATTTTAAATAACATAATAAATATTGTACGTTATATAGTAAATCTTAATTATTCTTTGGTGTGATAGATGTAAAACGCTAATTACTTATTATTAGCTGCATTATTTAAAATTAAACTTAATTATACTACTATAATTATATTTATATTTCATTTCATGGTCAGTCATATCATAAGGCACAATATGCTAACTCTAATAAATATATATCTATCATATAGGCCAATTTGTTTAAAGCTTAGATATGTATATAAGTATAAAAATTATTTGTTAGTAATAAAATTATTAAAAATTATGTTGCAAAAATTAATAATAAAGCGTCAATAAAGTGAAAAAACGATTAGTTACGGTTAAATTAATTTTGTTTTCTATATTTATAAAATCTTAAATGGCATAATATTTACACCAATTATAATGATGGATCAAAACAAATTACGTTTTGCTTTTGTAGTTAGGCTTACAAAATTTCATTTTAATTTCAAGAAGGCGCCTTTGGCATATCTGAAGATTAGTATGAATATTTTGACAAAATGCTTATGAATTTGGCACTTATTTATGCAATCGTATGACCTTTATGAAAACTTAATTACTAAAAAAGTATAATTTAACTAAAGCAATAATTACGTATTTGAAGGTCACATTTATTGCCATTGAGCCATTTGAAACACACAGAAAAACACACTCAGATTATTATTAAACATTTCAACAACCATAACATTTGAAAAATTAATGAAAGATAAATATAATATAAATATGTAACAAGAAATATTTACACGCAGTTATCAATAATATTTTTACTATATAACTTAAATGTAAGTATTATTGATATAGTTTTAAGAATAAATACATAGCCTATAATGTGAAAGCTTGATTTTTGGTATTTTTTTATATTAGTTAAAAAACTGTATCAATTACGAATACTATGTAATGTTTCAAAACCAAAAACAAAAGGCTAAATGAGATTTCATTTTCAATTTCAACGAAATACTTTGCATCATCTACATTAATAAAATTTCGTAATTAATATCGTTTATCCAAATTATAGAAAAGTAAAGCTTTTAGTTCAAATCATGCTGAAAATTAAGTTAAATTTAAAATAATAATAATCATAAATTTAAATATAGTAATACATAAAATTTGGCTTTATATAAAAAAAGTATAAAGCAGATTAACTTTATAGCACTTCTTGAGAATTTATTAAAATACCTTATCACTAACTATAATAATATATATATATTACATTTATTATATAAATATCATAAATCACTTTTTTACGCATACTTGATACGATGATCATAGTAAGAACTAATCGGTGTCATAGAATTGCTGGAGGTTAAAGTGACTGGACCTCCTGGTAATGTTGTAGGCAAAGTTGAGGATGGCGAAGGCAGCGAAGGAGAAGGTGTCATTGCTGCGTAGGATTTGTACAGAGGCATCGTGGAGGACACATTTGGTGTCAATGATGGGGCACCTGAAAAAAACAGAAAGTACGATTGAAATTTAAGACAGAAACTAATAAATAAATATAATATTATATTAAGATATATTTGCAGAAATGTTAATTAATAATTAGTTACAATACATCCTATGGACTTATAGAGTGATGTGTTGCAATGGAATATTAAAACTATGCAAAAATCTATATCATGCAGAACGTTGAATAAAATATGAAGAAAAATGTTAAACGCAATATGATGTGAAACTTTGAATAGATTTGGATGTTAAAAGAACATTGTAGATGCCCATTTAATAGAAAAGGGTAAAAAATAAAAATATCTTAAATGGCTAAAAGTTCCATCGAGCCCACAAAATAGATATATTTTTACATGTAACTAAGAGTTCATTGCTTGTAGTACCTTCACTCACTTCTCTTAATTAAAAACTGCTTCGAACTGGATTCAATTATTTATTATTATTATGTTATTAGCTTTTGCAGTATTTTCATTCCTTCAATTTAAAAATCCTTATGTTAGAAATGATAATACTTTTTTAAAAAAAAAAAAAAAATATTGGCCTCGCTTACATGGAGCATTTAGCCACCTACAACATTTCTTTATTTATTCAACATTATTTTTTAATTCATTTTCTTACTACTAATTCTAATTAATTTTAACTCAACATTTCAAATTCTAACTCAAGACATCATTTACTTAAAATACTACTTCTATTAATTCGTTTTACATTATCTTAATTTTTACTCATTCTTCTTTCTTTTTATCTCCTTAATTTTTCTACAAATGCTATTGCGTCTTCTTCTAATTATGACAAATTTTTTAGCTTGATACTGTTTTTTTTTCTCATACATACTAACTTATTCAATTACAATTCTATGTTATCATATACAGATTCGTTATTACAATTCATTATTTTATTAGGAACCAACGAACTCTGGCATGTGAGTCGGACATGAGCTATGTCCGCCACTTTCGACAATATTATATTAATTATTGACACAAACGATTCAATAATATTTTATCTTATTTTGACTTCAAGTAATTGAGCACTTGAAGTCCTCTCCAGCAACATTGTTTTGTGCATGGGAACGTACTGGCCAAGAACCATTTATTTTTTTATCATTGACTGTTTGGACAAAGAAAAGGGAGAATATTTTCAAAATAAACTATGCAATGAGAATACTACATAGCTCACTAGACTGTATTAATTACAAATTACTTATGAGCAATATTAAGTGAGATAATTGTATTAGATATGTTGAAATTTATGTTAATATAGTTTCCCAAATAACCATTTATTCAAATTTTGGAAGAGATATTTTTTAATAAGTATGATTCAATTGTTTCTTAGCAATGATTTTCTTTTTAGAATAGTTTAGGACTGAGTTTTTTCCTTAACGACTTGTGTTAAATAATAGTTAACAGAAGCAACATTAAACCACTCAGCATTGCATAAGAAGAAATACAATACTCATTTTTCATATTGTCTGTACGTCATATATAATAGGCTCAAGTTATTTTCGGAATCTTCATACAATGTTGCGGAGGAAAACTATGTGGCTTCGAAAGATATAGTTGTGAACAAATTGATTGAATTTCATATTGCGATAAAAAATAGAATGGAAAAAAAACTAATTTCATATCACTGACTAGTTGATAAAATGATTTTTGTTGGAAATAGTTTTTTTTGACAGCAATTTATTATAAATAATGCACATTATTGATATATAATGCAAAATTGAATGTCTATAACACATCATTATTAATTGTTGAAGTGGGTTCTAAAAAAAATATTAATGAATATTATTTATAATTATCTTCTCATCTCTTATAGTTTAAAATAAGTATGTAGTAACTTTCTTGTTTATTTTCAACAGCTAAGTTAGAAAATAAAGCTTTCATAAATATGCAATTTCTTATTGATATATTTCAGACTTATAAATGCACAATTACGTTAGTATGTCTTAAAATCGCAGTCCATCATTTCAAACTTTAAAGTTCCATGATTTAAACAGGTTTTGTAGACTTTCTAGTATTTTAAGATGTTCGATTAGATTATTTCAATTCACTTCAGGGGGCGTTCATTAATCCCGTGAGCGAGTTTTTAAGGATTTTTAGACCCTACTTCCCCTTGGTGATCCATGGTGATATTTGAAATTAAGACCCCCCCCCCTCCCCCATCAAACATCACGTGTATTTTTAGTTACGTGAAAAAACAGTACGATTTTTTTTTTTTTTTTAATGTTTGAACTTTTTTATAAAAACTAGTTAAATAATAAATACACGTGATATCTTACTATACCCCTTCCTTCTCCACGTGATATATTGTGATTTTTTATCAAACCCCTAAAAAATTACGTGATTAATGGACGCCCCCTCAATGACTTGAAACGTTGAGAAAACACAAATAAGACTTTATGTCGTAAACATGAACTTCTTCTTCAAGAAGTTAAGAACAAATTTGCTCTACTAATATATATTTATTTTAAATTTTGGATCACAAAGATTCTCTTCGTAATATTTTTAATAATATCAAATGCTTTTTTACAAATAATATTTCAAAACTTGTAAATTAGTTTCAACTTTGAAGTCATATTGAATTATTTAAAAAAAAATGAATTTCTGGGATTTCGATTCATATCTCATGTTTGTTGGCGATTTGCCTTAACGTGCAAGGCCTATCGCCACTAGTTTCCAATACTTTTAAAAATCTTCTCAAAATTTTATCTTCATATTACCTTCAGCGCAAACGATGCATTTGTTTTTATCTGGCCGCCTGGTCGGTTGACCTCGCAATCCAGATAAAAGGATGCAACAAAGTCTAAACAAAAGAGACGCCGTGCATTCTCGATTTACAATGAAATATTAGTGAGACCTCTGGTGATAATTCTCAACTCTACATTATTATTTCGATCAAACATCCCAATAAAGGAAATCATCCCAGGCTAGGAACCATTTCGATATTTTACTGATTTCGTCTACGTATCCTCAAAAATCTTGATACAATTTTAAAATTTGGGGACAGCCATATGGAATATTGAATTCTAAAGATATGTATCAATCATGCTTTATACACAATAAACATTAAGAAGTATTTTTTAAGAAATTCGTATATCGGATATTACTCAATTTTTTATTTACTAAACTTGACTAATAGCCATTCTAAATTTTACCCCAATTTTCGAAGGTTATCTTATTTAAATTAATTAGCGTCTGCCGAAAGTGTCAGAAAATTGAATACCCATGAAAAAAAGATAATGAAGCTTATATTTAAAAAAAAATTATGAATATTTGTATAATTTATATAATAAATGAAATTTACAGTTTCTCGAGAATGTTTGATTCAATATATTCGAAACAAAAAAAAAACTTTCTAAAAAAGTCTTAATAAAAATATATCAAAACCAGAATAGGGTAGCCATTATAACCATTAGATAAAGTAATCTTCACATCAACTTATATTTTTTTTTAATATATTATTAGAATAGCGATCAAAATTCAAGTGCTTTATAAGCTTTTGAGATGATAGATAATTCTATAAAAATAATAATTATAATACTCTATAAATTCTGAGACATAATTAACTACGTCGGCTCTATATAACAAAACAAACAACAGTCTCTTTATGTAATGAAATTTATTATTGCAATTTCTTAATATTGATATTTTTTTATTGGTGCTGCATATATGGGGTAAATGCTATTTTACTGGTAAATATATTGTTTTTCATTATTTTATCCAGTGGTCATCACATTGATTTTTTCTATATATGTTATTGCTAATTATACATAACCAGTTAAATATCAGTATTAAATTTTATAACTATAATATAATTTAATAGTTCAAGCAGCTAATGCGGATTTTAATTTATTGAAAATTGTTGTTCTTTGGTAAATTCCGTTTTGATTAATTTTTGTCCTCCACTGTATATAGTACGATTCGTACGTTTAAGGAACAATCTCAAAAATACGTCATTTTATTAAAATTATATATATATCTCATATATATATCATATCGGAAAGTTCATGTAACTTACCTCAAGGCAAAATACCAATACCAACTAGTTAATAAGTATGATTCAATTGTTTCTTAGCAATGATTTTCTTTTTAGAATAGTTTAAAACTGAGTTCTTTCCTTAACGACTTGTGTTAAATAATAGTTAACAGAAGCAACATTAAACCACTCAGCATTGCATAAGAAGAAGATTCGTACGTACGTTTAAGGAACAATCTCAAAAATACGTCATTTTATTAAAATTATATATATATCTAGGTACGTAAATAGTAAATCAAACGTCAATATTGAACTTTTTTACTAAATTATGAAGTATTGTATTTTTTAGCAAGTTTGTAAAGTTTTACTGTTTTGAATGCGTATATGTATACGTTTTACAGAGTTTAGCTAATCAGAATGAGCAAATTGATCGTAAAACGTTTTCTATTTTCTGTTTGGGCAATTAGCTGCTCATCTATAACCGTAGGTACGAAATTTAAACAATAACACTGCATTTAGTTATATCAACATCACGCATAACGTATCAATGTCGCATATCTTTTATATCAGATTTATACCGCGCTCTCTAATATAAATAGCGAAAGAAAGACGATGAATGAATTATGACATTTGCAGTGACTATAAATAACGTGCTAAGACCACGGTCCATCTACCGTTTGATTTATTCGGGACATGACTTATAGACTTACTTATCATATTGGAATTCCCAATTCAATTTTGCCTTCCCAATCAATCAGGCATCTTATGCGAGAAAGCATAAGATTAACAAAATATATTGGCCATATGTCGCATAGGGCCATAAGACTGGCTTGAAGTTGCATAATACGCGAGAAATCGTATTAAGTATGATCATCTTAACAAGGTTTTACTGTATATGCAGGGTGTGCCATACATTGAGATCAAGCCGAAACGGGGTGACAGTATTGACCTTAACTCGAAATCTTTTAAAAATAAAATATATTTTACCACTTTGCAACCTGAATTTCGCCAACTTTTGATGAA